CTCTCTCTCTCTCTCTCTCTCTCTCTCTCTCTCTCTCTCTCTCTCTCCCCTCCCACCCTCCACCCACATCACAATAGCCAGCACCCCCTCCCACACCGTCTGCCCGGGCCGGTGCACGAGTGGCTGCTGCGGCGCCGAATCTCTCGCAGTCCCGCCGGTCTCCCCAGTGGACGCTACCAGGCCGTCCGAACATGGCGGCGGCCCCGGAGGAGGAGGTAGACCGCAGGCCGATCCGGAGGGTCCGGTCCAAGAGTGACACGCCTTACATCAACGAGGCGAGGATCTCTCTGCACCTGGAGACAGGTATGGCAGCCGGCCGGTGACACGGATTGCTCATACCGCTTCATGTCTGGGTGTGTGTTTGCAGCCTCCGACAGGGGAATCGGCGTTCGCTGCGGGAGAGATTGCCTCGTCGTTTTAGCGGTAGTTCCCACGCACCAGCATGACTTTGGGCTTTCATTGTGCAGCTCCGACGGTACCCATGGTGCTCAGCTGCACATGGGAGTATGGTAACCACACAGTGACACACGCACCGAGATGGAGGAGCGAGAATGCATTTCCCACATTAGGCTGGCTTTTATTCCAAATATGTGATACACGGTCTGCAAGGCACTTGGTACGGGAAACTTAATTATGCCCACAGGGCGAATGATTGCTTTTTTTGCTCCAACCAGACTCCGCCTCTGGCTATTTATTTAAAATGCAGAATATTTAGCATTTTGGAGAATGGGGCTGAGGAATGGATGCTCCGGCATGCGGAGTCCACGTCAGATGCGGTGGCTTAATCACAGTGTGTGTGTGTGTGTGTGTGTGTGTGTGTGTGTGTGTGTGTGTGCGCGTGTGAGTGTGAGTGTTGTGTGTGCACGACAACAGGGGAGATAAGTTACTGTTTCCTTTGTTGCCATGGTCACGATGGTGCGCTGGCACGAAGCCTGGATTATCAACCTCATGGTGCAAATTGGCAGCTTAATGTTCATTTTTCTGTCTTCTTTATTTTAGAATAAGATCGTTCTCCTGCGAAAAACCCTCCTCATCCCTGAGGGAGGCTGCTTTAATACCACATCAGTGCGGAGCTGTCCACTCCCCCTCGGTGCTGAAATGCCACCGAGCAGAATATAGGCGATCAAAGTCCGGAAGGATTTGCACACAATTGGCATGCCTCTATTGGTGATCATCCACATTACATATATGAGAGGGCTTTCTTTCTTTCTTTCTTTCTTTTTTTCTTTTTTAAAATTGTGTTCGACCCTCCCCCAGAATTTTCTGATGTGACAAATCCCAGTCACATGGTGTCTAGGCTCGACTCAAGGCCACATTTTCAATTTCGGACAGATGACAACGGTAGAAAATGTCCCTGCCAGGCTGTTGTTCTGCTTTGTCTTTATTCCCCACCACTGTGTTCTTATAAACACGCAGCCTCCAATACCTGGGTCAGTAATTGTCATACATAAAGGCTCTATGCTGATTTAGCACTGCTATTCTAATGCAAAGGTTAGTGAGTAAAACATGTGGTGGATCTGTTTTTATTGCATACCATTGTTTTTCGCCTCAAGCAAAGGTGAGACATGTAAATAAACAGCCTTACATAAATCTTAATGAGATCAGGACCTATCCCCCTTTTTTTAGCCTGATCAGACCTTTATGACTCATGGTGCTCCGACCCACCTACTCATAATCTCTCTCAGCTGCCCTCTCTCTGGCCCTCAACAGTCTTCCTCTCCATTTTGTTTCCCGTTAAACGCAGCACCTCCTCTTAGCGAGATTATCCGAGCCGAGCCGATATGAGCAACACTATTCTTTCTCGGAGCTTTGTGTCAGGCTTTCCATCAGGCATGGCTTGAATCTGAAGGAGGTGGGGGTGGAGGGGGGGGGGGGGTGTTACTGCTCGTGGCTATTAGCTGAAAACAGAGCGGGCAGTCTGCAGCTGCATGAGACTGGTGTGGCTTCATCAGGAATCCAGCAGGCACTGCCAGCTGCAGCGGGATATTGGTCTTCACACCTTTTTCTTGAACCATGAAGCATTCCTGTTTCTCTTTCCTGCCCCCCCCCCAAACAAAAATGCTTTGTTCTAATCTCATATATCTTTCAGCCATCTGCCCACCCACTCGCCTGCTTCCCATTTACTTCACGTTTGTGTGTTTAGCTGCTGTGATTTTGCATAAATCCAGCCCACTCTTTTCTTTGATGTGATGTGTGTCACAATTCATATGTGACAAATATCCATGATGCTATCTTCAGTGTGCATGCGTGGTATGCATGCTTGCCCAGTGTGTATGTGTGTGTGTGTGTGTGTGTGTGTGTGTGTGTGTGTGGGAGGCTGAATGGATATGAGTATTGGATTTAGTAGAATCATCACTCTGCTCTTGTTGTGCTCTTGGCCTCCATTGACCTGATTTGTCAGTATTAGAAACAGTTCGGGGAGAATACATATATGAAACATAAAACATGAATGTACTCACAGATCGTGAAGTCTGCTGAATCTAATATGCAGAGAAACTTGAACCTTAATGTAGCCTTCACAATTCCCCTTTAGTGGCTTTGTAGTAGACACAGTTTCCGTATCCCACATACATTCTTTATCTACTTGTTTTGTCACTTCATTGGAGCATTATTTTGAACATTTTAATGAGTAAAATATTTATAATTAGCACTAAAACAATTTTAAAAGGAGAAGGTCTTGGTGAATGAATGGGTCAAAATAGAATGTGACTTAGATGTGCCAGATTGCTTTTCATTTCCCAACATGTTTCACTTTCTTCACCAGCTACTCTCGTCTCCAACTTTTTCCGTCCAGTGTTTGTAGCTGGGCAGGTAGTACGGAAGTTGTATGCTGAAAACAGCTGCTAGAAACAAAGCTGAGGTCTGCTGTAAAACCAAAACAATAAGCTAAAAGAGGCTAAAAAGCTCTGTAGAGCTCAGAGTTGAGTGGAAATAGTCTGTGTGTTTCACACTACAAGGGACCCCTTTCATATTTTGCAGTTATTTGACTCAATGTTAGTATAAAATACTGATTAATGTAGTAGTGCAGTAAGGGCTTGAGCAATGATTGTCAAGTACAACATGCAGTTGTAAGAATGTACCTACCGGGTCGATCATAGAGGAAGTTAATAAGAATAATCTTAAGTTGAAAACCTTTACAAATTTTCTTTTTTTAAAGTTTACAGTTTTTATGCCAATTAATGAGACCAGATCCATTTCAAAGCCTGGCATTCCTGTTGCTTGAGCCCGTCCGAATCCCAGGCAGCACCGCTCTGCTGCAGCAATGTAAATCCAGGTCAGCCCGCTTAGAGCTTAGTCCTTCTCAAAAAGACCAAGACGCAGGCATTACCACGCTCTCATTCAAACACAGAAAGCTCTAATAAAGACCCGAATGAGCGAGACAGAGAGGTCTTAAATGAGAGGAGGTGGAGGAGCAGGAATTGTCTGAGGAGGAGGACAGGGTTGCAGGATGGAGGCTTTTCAATTGTGGCAGCATAAAGGCTGGCACGGTGAAAAAGAAACTGTTGGCTGTCGTCCACAGAATATGGTGGGAAAGGTGCTCCCACTATCTGAGTGATACTCTTTTGTCTCTCTCTCATGCACATACGTCAACGCTGCTATCTCCATACATTAGCCGGGCCTTGAGCAGCAGAATGGTGGAACTACCTGTGGCAAACAGAATACAAAGGAGGACGCGTGAGAGCTTTACATGCAGAGGAGTACTTCCTGCCTCGCTGCCTCCGCCCAAACGTACAAAACCCCTCACTCTTCCTCCACTGGGACGCAGGTTCACCCATTCAGCTCAGACAAGCTAATCATTGTGCTGACTCAGACTTAAGTTGACAATCGAGATAGTGGGAAGGTCTCTTGGCTGGTTTGGTGTCATAGTACAGAATAAGAAAGTGCAATGAGGGTACATTTTAGGTCATGAGGAGATTCACAGTGTCTGTAACTTGTTTGGTTTATCTTCTAGCCCTTTTCCTAGGAAGTGTTGTTTCCTATTTATGATTTGGTTGTACCCACTTTCCCTCTCCTTCTCGTAAGTTGTTTGCATTTAGTGTAATATACCACTATATATGGTAATAGTGCACTGGATTTCCAGCCGTTGTGGAGAAAATCAGGGCACTTTACCGATTTGTGCAAACAGGAAAGGATACAAAGTATCTGCTTACGGACTGACAGTAAAATCAATCACGTTTCCTTGTAAACAAAGTTTCTGTTCACATTCAGTGTTACTTGTGTAGTAGTGTACCCATTAAATGCACTACATCTGCCCCTGAGGTCTAACAAATGGGTTGAATACATTTCTTAAATTCTTTAAGCTGATTTGACTATTTTAAAATCTGCCTTGTCTACATATAAGGTTACAAGGTTTTTAATTTTCACTGCAGGACAGGATTGCTCAACGGAATTTAGATTGTGGTCCCACTTTGCTACATAAGAAAGAAAACAAACAATAACAAAAGATATATATAATATATGGAGGGTGGAGGATGAATTAAGGAGTCTCACAGCCAGAGGAAAGAAGCTGTTTTGAAGTCTGGTGGTTCAGCAGCTGATACTTCTGTATCTCTTTCCAGACGGCAGCAGGGTGATCAGGTTGTGGCGGGTTTTCCCTTTTAAATGTCCCCTCAGCTCTTCGCAGGCCCCTCTTCTCCCCAATATCACTGATGCTCAGGTGATAGGTGTCAATGTTCTGGGTGGTTTTTATCCCCCGCTGTAGAGCCCTCCTGTCCTGTACCGTACACACCCCATGCCAGTTTGTATTGTTTGCAGTCAGGATGCTTTCTATTACACCTCCGTAAAAATAGTTGACATCCATGTTAACTAGCAGTCTTCTTCCCTTCCCTTGTTGGCACATTGCTGCGTTTCCTGACATCTGTTGATGTTGAAACAAAATGGGGTTCCACACAGTCAAGGTTTTCCTAGGTGTCTTATCACCTTTTATTTGTTTGTATGTTTTTTTGCAGCTTCTCTTGTTCCTCTGTGGATTGCATTGTGGGAAATATCTTAATGATTAGCACACTCATAATTCAAGCTCTTTGATATGCGTTGACCTTTTTCAGTATATTAAATGTTGGAACCACTTTATAAGGCATCCTTACAAAAGGGTTGACATGTTGTAATCAATGGTTGTTTTAGTGATTAATAAATCAATACTGATGCGTTATAGATTAGCAATAAGCTGGTATGGTAATGTAACAGCTGCTGTTACTTTTGCCTTAATTGTGTCACTTCCCATAAAGTTCTTCCTCAGTAGTAGTATTTAGAATAGAACTGGGTCACAGTTTCAGTGATCTTTGTTTGCCTGAATGTATGACAGGCTTTAGACAGCGTGTCTGACTTATTGCATTCATCACCCACATGTCAGTGAGGGCAGCAGTGAGAATACTAGAACAGGACATATTTCCATTTGATTACATTACAAGTGTCACTTATGTACGTATATACAACGCTCCCTGGATGTGTACGAAGATTGTTTTGATATATTTTATTTTAAAAAGTTAGTGATGGCACAGCATCAATACTGTCATGTCAATGATGCAACCATGGAAAGGACTTTTAGTGTGAGTTTACTCTCCTTCATCTTTGTCAGTTACAGAAGTAATTGTGCATGGTGCATGCCGTAATGTCATTTCTGGTTCTTAATCGCTTAATGGTTGCCTACTGTGTTGTACTCTTTGTTTTGCAGCGTGTGAGCCTCTTTGATATTTGTCCCCCCTGTGGTCGTTTTAAGTCTGCCCCCCCCTTTGTGGTTCATCCCTGGGCACTTCAGCTGTGGGGTATAGCTGCAGGAGTTGTCCTCAGGCAGAGACAAAAAATTCACACGAACCAAACCACAAAATGCAGGCAGAGATAGAAGACACATCACCGGTGTTGCAGTGTTTAAGGCTCATTTATTTATTTTCTAAAGTAAGCTGTCTGTATTGGTGAAGGCCACCTGTCAAAACAGTTGAGCTGCATACAGGAAACAGAGGGAGAAGAGAGGAGTGACTCATATCCCAGTGATATGCCAAGTTTCACATTCACAGGGAGGTACACGCACACGATGCTCCCACAGGCTCTGCTGTTCTGTCACTTTGTATTAATTCAGTACATAGAGGAGGGAGGGAGGGTGCTGAGGCTTTTGAACAATGAATGGTATCTCGAGCGAGAGAGAGAGAAACTGTAGGAAGAAGAGAACACATTGAACTTGTAGACATCCTTTGTCCTTCATCCCATCACACCTTATTTAACACTGTTCCTGTGTGTTTGCTGCTGCATTGATGTCACTGTTTTAGACGGACGGAGAAAGAAAAGGAGACCAAACCAGACGCATAAGATCAGTTTGTAGGAAAACCCTCTAAAAACAGTTTGAGGTTTTCACATTTTACTAATAATAATAATAATAATAATAATAATAATAATCCCAAATCAGAAACTTGCCTCAAAGGGCTTTACAATTTGTACAATACATGACACCATCTGTCTTTTCACCCCAATTTGGATTTAAAAAAAAAAAAAAAAAAAAAAAAAAAAAAAAATGTACAAAAGGAAGAGCTATAGAGGGATCCCTCTCCTGCCTCGGGATAGGCAGTCGTTTCCAGTTTGTACACACACAGTTCATCAATTACTCATGTGACTTTACAAGATAAATATATAAAGTGCAATAAATACACAACTTTTCCTATTCATTTTGTTTTACAAATTACAATGCCGTCTGAACGAATCATTGGATGAAAAAAGTTTGAATCCCCTTTTTTTGGTATAAAATAGTAAAGTGACAATTAATGAACCAGAAGCAAGATAGTGGAAACTACGTCATGATGCTGTGATATTGAATTACATGTATACCATGACAGAGGATATTGTACATTATGGCCCACTTCCAGTTTAACTACAAGAACATCCAATAAATGTTTGTTATCTGTAACGGGTTGTATTTGGACCCAAATGCAACACACAGGATGCCAGAGATCTTTGGCTTTTATTACCAACCTCAAATATAGCAAGCAGAGTTCAAACAGGGTCAGGAGATCAGTCTGTGAGAGCGTGCTGGAGAGTCTGGCATGGAAAACCGAAGAGCAATCTGGCAAATGTGTCTGGGAGGCAGGAGTCTATATAGGGGCTTGATTACTGATCAGAGGCAGGTGAGTGAACAGGTGAAGGGAGTTTAGACTGATGAGGAGGGAGTGACTGACAAGTAGAGTGAGGAGGGTGTGGAGCTGAACTGTGACATTATCGAGTATTTAAGATGCTACAGTCTAAGAGTGAGTTTTTAGTCAAATTTCCCTCACCTTTCATTTAGACATGAAAACCATGTACCACAATATCTTCATTTAAGAACGTTATAATGATCCAATGATTTTTTCGATAAATGATTATCAGGATATCTGCAGGTCTTTAAAATTCTTAAAAAAACATTGAATTGAGGTACCTCAAAAAAGTTCTTTGTGGGAGTTAAAAAATCTTAAATTTCATTACAATATTTTGTCTTTCTTGCCATAGACTGGGACATAAGCTGTAACTTTTGTGTGTATAAGGTTGAAGGTCGCAGGCTTTCAGGAGACCGTACACCTATAAACTACAAGTGAAACTGGTGGGACTGGCTGTCTAATCTTTTTTTTTTTGGAGTTGTGTTTTTTATTCAGCACCATAAGACCTGTAGCAAGCACCGTTGCTACCTTGGAAGCTCACTGACTCATAATGGGCCAGTGTCAATTATAGCAACTACTTAAATTAACTAAACCTAATTAATAATTAGTTAATTGGTTAACCCATCCGTCAAATGTCTGCCACCTATCTGGGCCCAGGACACGTAAATTGATTAACGTAGTAATTATATTACCATAAACTATTGTCATTACAGCTGCGAACTGCTGACAAAAATGGAATATAGATGTCGATAAATTCATATACCTAATGATTATAGGTCTCATTGTCCTACTGGGTTTCGGTAATTCTTTGACCGGTATGACCGTGAAAAAGGTATTAAATTGCATTTCATTTGAATTTTATTAAAAAGGTCTTTAAAAATCACTCAGATTATATCAGAGTGTTAGGATGTTTATGTTTATGACTGTCCCAGAGTGATGTTAATGATCATTTTGTCGATTTGGTAGGGTTTATTCACTGGAAGCCAGAGGAAAAAACTTCTCTTTGCCCCATTTGACTTCCCTGAAGAGCGATACTGTGAAGTTAGGAACTGGGCAGCATCCCTGCTGTGCAGCTAATCATCTACAAAACACTGCACGATTAGCCTCTTCCATCCACTCAAATCAAAACGGTTAACTTCTGTCACCCAGGAACACCCAGATCAGCCAGCATCTTAATCAGAGAGCTTGTGGTAAACAGATGAACTGGTGGGAAAGTGGAGGTAGAAGTAGCGGAGTGATGAAGATTAAATGGAAGCGGGAGTCTGTTTTAGACTCCAAACAGCAGGTTTCAACCTCTCCTGTCTCAGCGGCAGAGCAGCACATTAACTTTGCATGCTAAATCTCTGTCAGGACTGGAGTCTCAGTTAGGGGCCTAAATTAGCAGCAGCATCGTCAAAGGCCAGAGGATGATTAATATTTTTTGCCTGATGGGATGGGATGAGGAGGTGATATATGTTGTAATGGATAGTCAGAAATGGAGAAACGCGAAGGTTATGTGGTCGTCCAGTATGACATCAATCATAAAGACAGTAATGGCCAGGACGTTTAACCTCTGATCATGAGAGGAGGATAGTTAAGAGTTTTAGTAGCTTGAGAATTCAGTTCTCAAGTGGAGTCTATGGATTTGCCAGAGTAACTGGGACTTTGTTTATGAAAGACACAAGTCAAAATTTTGTCTCAGAGGGTTTTACAGTTTTTACAGAATACACAAGTTGACAAAACATGTTTGTTCCTTTTACCTTTTCATTTGAATAAGGAAAAGCTGAGGAAACCCTCAGAAAGAGTAACAGGAAAGGGATCTTAGCTCACTGTTAGCGTTGTTAGCACCGTCAGCCGTTGCCATGTTGAATCCCGTATTGAGCACCTTCAATTAGTGCAGCTAAGTGTTAATGTAAGTTAAAATCGATTCAAGAAAAGTGTCTCAAAACTTCTGCACATCATAGTGAAAAAATACATTTTGTGTCATTTTGGTGAACTTACCCATTAAAGACCAGAAGAGCAGTACTGATATCTTTCCTCTAGGAGTGGAGCAACAGCGCATTAACTGCTACATGTGTTTGTTGAAGTCAGCATTATTTAGCTTAAAGGCACCATTTAAAAGCAGGTTTGACCTGTGAATAGTGGGCCAACATCAGTCAGGGCAGCAACAGTGCTGCTATTGATCGTGGTATTTTCATTTGGTAGTTACTGCGGAGCTGTAGAGACCACATTGTTCCTTTGTTTGAATTAATTTCACATTGCTAACTCTACTCATATCACTTTTCAAAACACAAGTTAACAAGTGATTTAAAGGAAAAAGTAAAGGGGAAAGAGGGCAACAATAGCAACAAAAGACAATCTATAAAACAAGCCAAATTAAGTTTGCAACCCACATAGCAAAAAGTTTCAAATAGAAGGCAGAAACAGAGAAAACAAATAGGTTCAAGATTGTGCACAGGAAGCTCGTTAGAGTTGTCAGGCAGACTCGGCACCATAGAGATGATGTGACTCACTGCTCAGGCAGGTCAAAGTAAAGATTGATTCAGTCAAGGCTTCTCCATCACAGTACAAAGCCACAGAGATAAGACACTGACCGTGTGCTGATGAGGTAACATGTCTGAGCTGAGGAGTGGACGGCTCATGTGAGAGACATGCTTAGACTGCTGGTACTAGAATATATAGACGCTGTTGGACAGGAGGGTTTACAGTGAGACAGGTGTGAAGAGCTCAGTGTCTCACATATAGAAAATAATTTGACAGCTGTACACACCACAGGCGGAGGATATGCTGCCCTCTCTGATGTGACAAGCCTGTGGTCACATATACCTAAGTGTGTGTGTTTGCAGTCACACATGTATTTCTGCTGCTTGTACTTGTGTGCGTGTAAGAGTGAGGTGGTGTGTTTCAGAGTCATATATATATGAAAGTGCGCCGACTTGTCAGACACATGAAGTCCATTACTGTCAGCAGAATATTGAGCTGTAACCTGCCATACCTTTGTGCCACCTCTGATTCCACTGATTCCACTCATCAGGGAACAGGAAGCCTTTCTGAGGACTGAAATTATGACACTTCTGTTTCTTGTGGCTCTTTTTTATGCGGTTTTGAGGATTGAAATGCAGATTAACAAGACAGAGGGTGGAACCAAATGAGATATAGCACGCGGGGTGCGAAGAAGTAAAAATATGACAAAGTAAAATAAAAATATCTTCAACTAATTAGACTGTACTGTGAGCATTTTTTATTTTAATTAAGAATGTGTTTGGCAATACTGGTGTATTGATGAACTCAGGATACAAGTGTGACATTACCTCAGTGAACACTGCACTGAGTGCAGCTCCAGCATTTGAATGAATCATATTGTGTGCTACTTATGTACCAACTCTAGACCATGAATCATGAATCAGTTGAGTTCAATAGCGTAGACATTTCAGTCTGCACCAATGTGGTGGAGCCAACAAATATAACACAACCTGCATAATGAGTATCTTTACAGCTGATGCTCTAGCAAAAGCAGAAATGAATACATGTTCTTGGCAAAATGTGCTCACATCAAATATCTAAACACTTCCTGTGAGTTAAGTGTAGACCGATCAATGCTATTCTATGTCTCTTCTGTGTGTAATGTGAATCCTACCTGTAGTCCTATACCACCTTGGCTCCCAGGCCCATGAGACAAACCATAGGTCTCAGCCTGTGTGAGAGACAGTGAGACTATGGATTTATTGATTAGCCCTACATCACCAGTGCTCTATTCTCACCCCTACCTCCTCATTAGAGAAATAAGAGTGAAAAGGCTGGTATGACTCAGGCCAGTCTTCAGAATAAGACCCACACAATATACTGTGTGGTGTTGAGATACGGAGCAAATGTTGTCCTTCTTACTTGTTCCTCGTTTCCACTTCAACAAGCATTGTTTTGTGTTTTAACTCTTATCTTCACAAAGCGGTTGTGCGTCTACGTAATCTTTTTAATTTATGTTTATGTCTTTACTTGTAACCAGTGGTGGAACGTAACTAAGAACATTTACTCAAGTACTGTACTTTAGTATTTTCTTCTTTACTCCGCAGCCTTTCAGAGAAAAATGGTATACTTTTAACTTTACTACATTTATCTGACAACATAAGTAGCTAATTACATTACAAATTAAGATTTTATTTGCACAAAGGGTTTATAAAACGTTGATGAGGAGCTTGTAAAATACAATGTTTTGGGATAAATTAAACTACACAACAATTTTTATTTATTTAAAATCATGTGTAGGTTTGTGGTACTGGTTGGACAAAGCAAACCATTGTGCTTTTACATTCATGTCAAGTAATAATAATCTAATGACAACAGACACAGGGGGACATTCCTCTGCATTGAGTACTTTTACTTTTAATCCCTTAAATGCATTTTGCTGATTATATTCACATACCTTTACTTTAGTAACATTTTCAATGCAGGACTTTTACAATGTGGTATTTTTTCTTTTAATTAATGTAAGGATCTGAATGCTTCCTCCAGCACTGCCTGTAAGTGAGAGAAAACCCGGAGGCCTGATGGTTATTTAAAGGAGGAGGGCTCGTTCCAGACATGGAGGCTTGTTCACTAAACGCTTCCCCTTTCATCTTGTGATACAAAAGCTTGTACTTGGCTTGAATTCGATAGCCTTCGTGACTCATAGTCTGCAGCGAGGAAAACGCAGCTTATGCTTTTGATCTTAGTGTTATAAAAGACATGAACATCAATCACACACATTGTACATGAGTGAAATGATAAAAAAAAATGAAATTCCCTCAAACACACAAGATCCAGGCTTTGTATGCTTGTGCACCACAGCTCAACAAATTCATTTCAGCCTTATCACTTGTGAGTGAGCTCTACCTGCTGGTTGAGATTCGTAACAACAACCTGTGACCCTTTGTTGGCCTCCACAGAACACAACAGTCTCTCTCGTAAGCATATCGACTTCAAACGTTTCCTATTTTTTAAAAGACTTTACAAATTTGACATGCTTTTATGACTCAAGAATTTTGAAGCTATTATCCAAGTTTTTTTTTTACTTCTATTTTCATAGCATTTTAGATTTAGCAGAGAACAGGAGATGTCCGACAAAACATTTCATCACATTGGAATTTAAGCCTTGTTGTCCCTTAGAATAGATAGTTAAGACAATGATCATTGCAAAAATGCATTAATCAGTTATTACTTAATTAATTCAGGATAAGAACCCGATTTCATGTTTCACTCTTGTCTTTCTCTATTTTCTACATTTAGAGTTTGAGATTGATTTTAAGATCCTTTTGATTTACTGAAACTTTTTTAAATCTTATTTGTGTCCATTTTTTTTACAATATTATTTTGTATTTGTTTACTTACATGAAGCACTTTTTTTGAGAAGTTCTATATGATAAGGAGTTGAGCTGGTTTATATAATACATAATAGTAGGAACTTAAAATAACCAGAATTCAGAATGATGTACAATGTCCATATAGCCTTTGTTTTGTTAGTAAAAAATATATAAAAAATTAACTGTTATTCTTGTTACAGCACGATTCCTTCAATATGCTTCACATAGAACTACTAGAAAAAGTAAATAGAGATAAAAGAATATATATTTACATAAGATAAGAAAACCGTTACTGTTTCTCAGATGGGAAATTCAGTTGATACAGCAACACAGGGATAAATATACTTACAGATAAATAGAGAAATAAGCGAATATCCTGTTATCCTGTTGTCCTATAAACCACAATTTTTAGGGATTAAAATATATATATCTGAATCCCTAAAAATTCTTAACTCTCTTCAACCTAATTGGCTATCATCATGAGTCGAACCGCAACAGCCAGCTATGATTGGCTGAATCTGTGTAGGAACTAAACTGCGTCAAAGTGCAGCCAACAAGACAGACTAAAACAGGAAGTAAAGTAGGCCTCTAAAATAAAGTAAAGAAGATGAAGATATTTAGTTTAGTACACGCGGAGTAACAAAAATCCAGAGTAGTGTTAGATTGTGGGCTTTGTTAAAATAAAATGATCCACGTTTGCTAATATATATCTCCTTGCAAATAAAGTTGTGTGTCACACGTTTTAATAATTTGAATTATGTGCTTTTATTGTGCAATACATCATTGTATCACTGTTTTATGAGTGGAGATAAGATGAATTGTGATTTATTAATTAATTGAAGTGTAACATAAGCAGCTGCTCCCGTGTGCTAAATTGTAGTTGTCATATCAAAATGAATTAATAGCAATGTGAATAGAAGTCCAGACTTTTAATTTAATTTTGCACAAACAGTTTCACTGGACAACAAAGTATGTGGTGTGGCAGTATAAAGACATCCACAGGCTCTTGGGTCTTTATTCTTACCATGTAACTAAGTTTGTTGCACTCAGTGGACGTTTTTCTTTGTATTTAACCCCAACAACAATCTTTGTTAATTTGTTTCAGTGTCAGTAGCTGCTGCTGCTGCAGTGCTTCTGCATTTCTGTTTATACCCAAGCCAGCTAGTAACGCGGCTTTTTAAATGATTTATTCTTATTTTCTTCTCTTTGCAAATGTAGAGGCGTATTGATGTGCAGATGGTCTTTCCAGCCATGGTCAGTGCTCTATGAAGCAGCCATTTCAACCCACATCTCTTCTTTTTAGTTAAATATATAGTAGTGCAAATTGCTTGCAAATCTACTGAGAAACTATTTTCTCAGTAGGTTTGCGTATTTCCAGTTCAGACAGGTATTGCTCGCTCAACGTGCTTTTATTTTGTAAGATGAGGCCGGAAGTAGTAGTAGTAGTCGTTTTTATGGCGGCTGATTTGTTAGTAGTGGACAGACCGGCAAACCAGTTGAAATCCTCCTCCAGGCCAGAGGGTCCAGCCCATGCAAGTGTAAGGTCTTGCCCTGCAGTCCAAGTCAAACATGGCGGTGCGTGGTGGCGACGTGATGCGTTCGCGGTCCGGGTCCGGATCTGCCACCGGCCACCCATCATTAGCAGCGCCCGTGTCCGAGCAGCAGAAACCGGGAAAGAGGAGGAGAGCTTTCCGCCTGACCGGGATGAAGTCCCGCCACTGCTCCGTCAAACAGCCCCAGCAGCAGCAGCAGCAGCCCGCCGCACACAACAACAACAACGTGCCGTTCACGATCCACTGCCAGATCGGCAAAGAGATCAAACATATCTGCAGCAACTGCCGGGGAGCCGAGCCGCTGGACGGTGAGATGTCACGGTTTATTTTAGACGGGGAGGAAGAGGAGGGGTGGTCTTACTCTTCTATTTTTCAATCATTCTTATCGTCGTCCGCCGGTGGCCGCTCCCTGCCTGCCGGGGGACATCTGCTCTCCAGCACCGGGAGCATCACTCAGATCAGCCCTTAACGGTCCTTGAATTAACTTCCTACTCTTAGTGATCTCCAGAGACTTTAGGGTGTTTTTTAAAACCCGTTTGAATCTATCTAGTGTTGCATGTTTGTGATGTAATTGAGATGAAGTTAATGTCGAGCATGATTTCAGATTCTTCTTTTCTAGTGTGTGTAATTTAGTTTTGCTTACACGTTTTGCTGTAAAATCACTCCCTTTTTAAAATCAATACATTATTTGTTTTCGTCAATAAAATCATAAAACTGTGACGTGTGACATATTCGAATGTCCCACTTTCTAAAACACAAATATATTTACTTTACTATTGTTTAAAAAGCAAGTATTCACAATTGAGAGGCTGAAATGTGGTATTTTTTTCTTGTAAGATGACACAAACTTTTATTAGATTATCAATATTGCTGCCAATTAGTTTTCCGTCAATCGACAAAAGAGTTGATGGACTCTTTGTTGCAGCACTAGTGTCATCACTCTCGCAGCATCTTCGGCTGCCCTGACCAGCTGGTTGTGAAATGTGTCCAATCAATCAACTTGATTTAATTTGAAAATCTCTCTCTGGCATTATTGTCCGTCCGCAGATCAATACAGTCACGAAGAAGATTGCTAAAAGTGTACTGTTGAGTCAAGCCCCAGATATGTGACTAGTATAAAAACAAATACACCCAGTCGATTTTAAATGTCTTATTCGATCAAGACCTTAATTGGGGCTGCAACTAATTGCTGTTGACATTATTTAGTCCATAAATTGAGTTCTGTGAAAATGGCCAGTTCCCAGACCTAAAGGTGACGTCTTCTAATTGCTTGTTTTTTCTGAAAACACTCCAAAACCCAAAGACTTTCAAATAGATATGATGTGGAAAAAAAGGGAAAAGAAGCAAAACATCACATCTATGAATTTCTGGCATTTTTGCTTGATGAATTAGTTTAATATACAGTTACAAAAATTGCCTCAAACATTTGTTTTCTTCAGCTAATCAATTCATTGAGTAAGTGTTTTGGCACCGGTATTGTCCTACTCAAGACCACAGAATTTCTTAGTCGACCGATAAACACTGGATTTGTTTGAACTTACAAGTTGATTTACTTGAACAATCTATCCAACTGTTTTCCACGACAGTTCAGTACAGACATTCAGATGGATGTTTAATTCGTTCTTTATTCATTAGCTGTCCAGAACTCGCTGTTCTGAGCTTGTTGTTGAGTCAGTCGGTGTTTTGACGAGGCAGCGGTAAGAAAAAACACACCCGGGGTCAGTGCGAGTCTGAGCTCACTGGGGGGGGGGGGGGGGGGGGGG